GATGATTGCTTCTTTTTTAATAAAACTGGACACGTAGCTACTGTTGCTTTGAAGAATCGTTCTGCCGTGAATAGTGATTGGTACACGACCATTTGTTTGCTGGAAGTTATTGACAAACTCCCTAAAAATAACCGTAAATGCTGTATCATCTGGCACCACGATAATGGCAGTTCTCACACGGCCAAACAGACAAATGGATTTTTACAGGTGAACAACGTTGACCTTATGAGCCATGTACACGGGTACAGTCTCGACCGGGCACCTTGTGGCTTTTATTTATTTCCAAAAATTAAGAACCAGTTACGCGGTCAACGATTTTGATCACCAGAAGAGGCTGTCAAAAAGTATGAAAAATATGTTCAGAGATTGTCACGGAGAAGTGGCATAAATGTTTTCAAAATTGGTTCATTCGTATGAAAAAGTGCATTAACGCTAACGGAGAATATTTTGGGAAACAATAAATTAATTTCTGACCATTTATAGTATTTTTTTCTTATTCATTTCGGAAACTTATAGTGCGCCTCACGTAATAGTGAAGAAGTTGATCGTTCGGCAATTTGGTGAATTTTAAGACGGCAGCCGCATAATAGTTTCAATGTTCCATATAATTATTGTCTTCATATGGTACATAAATTAAAATGTTACACATATGAGCCCTGTGTTAGGGATAACAATAAGAGCAGAGGTCCTCATGGTGATAAAGGAATTTTACTTTGTTTCACTCTCCCAATGTTCAGTTAACAAAGTACCGACATATTTGTATTCATTCTAAGGCTGGCCTTCACATTATACTCGTTCACTCTGTCGACAATTTTTTGAAGCTCTGTTTCTGTAGAAGCTGCGAGGTGTGGCATCAGCACACCTCAGATTATTAATAAGACGTCCATTGATCTTAACCGCACAGTCCGAATCTTCCAGAGCTTCCGTCATGATCGCCTCGGAGTAAATATTAGAAAGTGTAGGTGACTGTTGCACTCCTCTCCAGATTTTAATCTCTCTGGATTCCTTACTTTCAACCCTAACAGTGGCAAGTTGGTTCTGAAGTACTATCAAATTTAAAAAGAAGAATAATTTCGCTTTGCTTTTAGAGGTTAAAAAACACACCATCATGGAAAAAGACATACTAATCAAGCCGCAAGTACTAGGCCGCAACACAATCGACTATAAAACTAAAAAAAATTTGACGGAAAGACCATCAAAATTTTTGAAGACTTTAAGAATGTCTCTTGTACAGTTTAAATTATGTTACTAATGTTTTATTTTGTTAAGCATTCACCGGCTAGCGGCTGTGGAAGACGCTATGAACAACAGTAGTCAAAATTGGAATGTCTATAAAAAAAATTAAATATTTTAACATCTTTTGAGTCTGTTTTCACAATTTTATCATCAGATCTTAATTGAATATCCAAGTTGCGAGGTTTAACTCACACAGTTTCCCTGTTTATGATGTTCCAAGCGTCTACTACATCCGCGTTGTTTTTAATTTTATTATTAATAATCATTGTTTTATTTTAACCGTATTCAAGTACTTTCTAAGATATCATCAAAACTGTCACTAGTGTTATTGGCCCTTTCACTGTATACTTCATATAGCAGTTCAGGAGCCGCTATTAAAGATACAGATATACCAATAATGATAAAGCCCATTTACGAAAAGGACGCAATAAATTCACGAGCAACAGATGACGATTTTTTTTCGCTTTTATTTCTCTTTCTTCCTGTGGTCCAATCATTTTAAATCTCATTATACTCTTAGCTTGCTTTAAGAACTCGATTTTATTTTATAATCCATGCTAAACACAACTTCAAAAGATATCTAAACGTAGAAGAATATCGAATATTTTTCTAATTTTTCAGAATATTTTGAAAAGATTCCACTATTCGATTTTTTTCAGTAAAAATTTCCACTATTCGATTTTTTTCAGTAAATTACCCAACACTATCTATATAATGATAAATATTTTGACCTCATGAAATTTATTGTACCTGCCTACATTGTGTATTACCGCTCGGAAAATAAGAAATATTCACGAGAATTTGTTAAGTGTCCGAAGCCGCCAGTGCCACATACGTTTGCCAGGAAATATATACAACGATAATTTATTTCTTTTATGAATAATTGTCGCTTCACAACGCAACATTTACATATTTTGCAAATGGTGGTGTTTTTTTAACAGATACCAGCTATTCTTCTATAGAATAATACAACTCGAACGAAAATTGCGCAGCCTGTATAAGATATAAGGAATTTCTAAATTCTAAAAATACTGCAGAATTTGAAGTTTTTGCGAAATATATCTACGTTCAGATTTTTCGAGCTGCTGACGTAAAACATTCATAGGGCGATAATGTAATGGAAAAACCCGTGTGCGTAATTTAGGGCATTACAATCGACTTTGGCTGCATGTCAGGACACTGTTGACCAGCAAGTGTGATGAAAAATTTATTATGTTATGAATCGCTATTTCCGTCCGCCTAACATGTTAACATCCCTAACTAGTCTCATTGAAACTTTATACTCTCAAGACTCAATTTACATTGCGGTGGAACGGAACGGAATGGAATTTCGCCTCGCTGCGCAAAAAAGCACGCGTCTTGAGGCTGTAGTATTTCGTCGACGTTTGACGTCACACCGCGCCTGCCTTCGCGCCACTTCTCGCGAATTCGCCAAGCGTCCCCGACGGCAGCTGCGGAATTCTCGCGAATGAGCGAGCATTCTCGAGAATTCCTTTCCCAGAATTCATGCGGGAGAATTCCGCTGACGTCGCGCGACGTTTTTGACTCGTCTAGTTTCTACGTTACACAATTGACCATAAAGTTCATTACACTATGTAAATTCGCTTCCATTCCGTTCCGCCACAATATAAATTGAGGCTTATGTCCGAGTAGTCTTCGGTGCTGCGTCCCTTAGCGACTAAAACCAATAAGAACAATCGAGCCCGAATAAATTCATTATTTTGTTCTGTTCATTTATCAGTTCTGGAATTTAAAAAAACACGACGGCATTTCTGGGATGAATTATGTCAAAATTCCAGAAACTACGATGGGTCTATCGTTTAGTTTCCTAGCAAACCACCTTTTGTTATTGGTACAAATATAGTAACACAAAAATGTTGTCGGCAGGATGACATCACCAGCTATCACCAAGTCGCCGGATAACCAAAAGGGGGACAAGAAGTCCCCGACGCACTCTGCAGGGGCCGTGGAGCGAGCGCCGTCGCGTGCTGATTCGGCCAGCACCCCTGCGCCAGCGCAACAGCCCGATAAGTTTAGCTGGTTCCGGATCTTTAAACTCGCAGATCTCATGATGAAGCAAGGTTGCTAGACCACCCTAGACAATTACGTGACGATAGTATTCAATTGGATAGAATAGCAATAATTCGTTACGACGTTCTCAATAGTCAGTTAGCTTAGATTTAATGTTTTTCTCGTATCGTAGGAATTTTACATAGGTATTACTTCTTGTTAAATTTTCTTCTAATACGTAATAATTTTAAAGATTGGCAGGATGAAGTGGGATAATATTACTAATATATTAATTATTGCATTCGCAGTTTTTCTCTTTCTTGTTATTTTTGGGTAGTTAAAATGTCTATTATTTAATTTGACAATAAAATAAAAATGTTAAGTTGTACTCATAACAATGTTCAATAAATACGTTGACCTTTTTCTTTTGTTTGAATGTATGTGTAGAAATAAAATTCCGTAATATAATGTAATATTTTTAATAGTATTGGTAGGTAGGATAACACGCAGGAGTCTGGGAAGATACAATACTATTTTCAATATTTACAAAATATACAATTACTCTATATCCTAGCACTTGTTAAACTATAGTATAATTATGATCACAATATTTTTATCCTTATGCTTTCCTATCATCGAAACCATCGTCGGGTACTGGCGAGACGGGTCGCGTCTGACCACCGCTGTTACGCTACAGTTAGCCCTCATCACGTTTGCTGCACACTTGAGATCAAATGTTAATTTTACAAATATTTAAACTCTATCATCTCGCACACCAGTAACAGCGGCAGTCGGAGGCGCCTGCCTTGGATTGACATTCCATCCTCACACCATGTCACATCACCTGTTTGAGAACAGAATGACCAAGCGCTATCTCGGATGGAAAACTGACACAACGACGTCCACGACTTCGAGTAACTATTCGAAGGCGCCGCTATGTGTGCTTTCCGTGCACCACATTGTGATAGAAATAAATCTTGATACCATATTATACTTCTCACATTAGTTACATTAATTAAGTCTGCATTAACTTAGGACTTAACATTTGAATAAACAAACTGCAAAAAATTTTACTGCTTACGGAGCATGGAAAGCTATGACAATTTTAAACATTAGTAATTGACATTTCAATAGCATTATATACACAAGGATGCAGCTATAGATCGCTGTCTCCACACTGTGAAGACTAGATGTTAATAATTAAAGTGTAAAAATAGCTACGTCCCAGTTACAAATAATGAAATTGTCGGTTCCAATATCAGCACAATAAGTATATTATTCATAATTCTCATTTGTTACCTATCGCATAAAACTTTCAATATCGAGTCTAAATACTGTATCACTAGTTTTATGGAGAATATTTACAGATCCTTCATAAGGAATTCAAATTAGAATAAATATAGAATGTACATTCATCATTGGGCATCTGCTTGCTAATATTTTTTTTTTGTAAATTAATGGACGAAGTGACGAGTTCGTTAATGTTCTTCCTAGCTAAGTCGAGAACTGTTTGCGACGGAAACATGACAAACGTTTTATATCTTTACAACTTCTACGTTTTAAAACCTTAAAAAGAATATACATATTACCTGTGCTATTATTAGTTTCTATATCGTACATATAAAATTACAATACATAAGATATTTTGTACTTTGTTTTTACGTACGACAGGAGTCGCACTATTCAACTAACTAACGAGTTATGTGAGATGCCAGTGAGATAGTGCGCGAGATAGGCGGGTAAATAAGAGTTAAGGGGTGATACATGTTAAGTAACTCGATGCAGACAATTAAATATTATGAGAAGTACAATATTACAGCTGTAATTATTAGTTACTGAAAAAATAGAGACACTGAAGTTATCTAATTGAGCATTTTTGATGGGACGTGTATGTAGTATTAGCTTTATCGTATTTAAACAGATAACGTAGACGGACGCGATGCACGAGGATGAGTGACTACAAGCTTATTTATTGATCAGGCGGTGATTGTTGCAGTGTACACGCCAATAAGCAGTGTATTTCATATCATCTAAAGTATGAAATTTGCAAGCTAGACAAATATATACTTAAAAAAAACATGATTTAAAATAAAGTATGTCGTGCAGGGACTTTAAAAATAATTAAGAACCTGTAATATAAGATAAGAAACACACCAATAGCGCACACCTGATATTAATGGCTATGTTAGAACAGACATTTGCCAGATTACATACAACAAAAGGATGAGATATCGTAACGCTTCAATATGTGCACAAATTAACAGATTGATATCGCAGATTTCAGCAGCACGACTTCCCATAAATGGGCCTTAAAATGGGTGGTACAAAAATGGAAAGTGTCACCCAAGTACACTAAACTCATGTGCCGCACAAGCTGGAATGTGTGCTAACGTACCAAGAACGCTCTCTGGGAGATACAACATAAAAGGTTATTATTCGTGTAGCACAACAATCTAGTTCAATATTTGTCGGGTTGCCGTGTTATCTTGTCAGAACTGACCATGACACGTTTTATCGACAGTTAATAATAAATAGTACTGGTCGACTAAAATATATGAGCATTAACTAAGTCGTCAGTCAAATCTGAAGACTACAACGTCAGATTTATTAGTTAAATACTCGTATGATTATATTTGAGTCGAGCAGTAGATGCAGTTAGCACTCATACTCGCAGCCAGTGAGATAAGGTGAAGGATGGCGGTGACGTTACACAATGCTCATCGTTCCATAAGACTACCTAGTCTACGTTAAAAAGTCAGAATCACAGTTTATTTTCCATGTGTATTTATCTCTTACTCGTTTCGCACGTTTCATTTTCAACTATAGATTACAAAACTGTTACCTTTCGACCCAGTAGACATGAGTTTCCATTACCTACCGTAATGATCTATGCGAATAAATCAAATTTTAGTATGGATAGATCGTATGTACAGATTTAAATTACTTTAGACCTAGTCGCTTAAAACAAAATAACAATTTACACTAACAATAAAAAATGCTCGATAGATTGCCACTCATCTAATCGGAACCCAAAATTAAATATAATTTTATCAACTGACTTTGCCATTTATTAATATTTTTTTATAAATTTAAACTCCGAATAACGTCGAACCCAGTCGACGATAACAAAAGTATTTTACATAAGCTATGACTTACACTAACACTTAAATAGGTGACGGCGGCTTATCTACTTACACGAGACTTTATACAAGCGCGGCGCGGCAGTCGGGCGTCGCAGTCGCCCGCCCGCCGCCCGCGTGAAAACAATAAATAAACTAACTTTACGTCACTAAAACGACAGTTCATCTTCGTAGAGGTATTCCGTCTCAATTCCTACGATCGGTTCGTCGCTCTGTTGAGGATCGAATCACTTTCACAATCCCGTTTACCAGGTCAACCAACAGGTAAGAGAAATAAAAATCGACAAAATTTCACAACCTGGCCATATTTACAATGCCTTACACTAATTATCTAAATATCCATACCGGTGATTCCAAGTCCAGTCCGGGTGGAGAATAGGTCACATTTACGATATCAAAACGCATAATCCGGGAAAAGAGTAGTTTTGTATTCGGGGTGCACTCATGGGAGCGGCGGTAACTTCGCGCGCTACACCGACTGGTGACGGTTAGTCCGAAGAGGGGCCACGGTGATTGCTCACACAGTGGCGATGACAATGAGTAGATGCGCGATGTCGGCAACGCGGTGCATGAGGTCGGGTGCTATGCGGTTCAGGTTCTCGTTGGCGAAGTCACACGACGGGAAGATGTGCACCGTGTACATAGCCTGCAAACGCACGCACCAGATTAGCCACTGCACAAATGCGTTACCAAACTCCTCAATTAAAATAATTAATGTCTACATACTTGATGGTGGCCCGGCGGAGCGACGTTGACGATGCCGGCGGCCTGCTTGCGCTGGAGGTATGTGATGAAACCGGCGGTCAGGTTCGTGGATTGCTGTAGCACGTCCATGTGGTCGCGACCACATGGCAACGCCAACAGCATACAATGCTCGTTCTCCAACTATGTAATAAAGATGCGAGTGAAAACGCAAAATAAATAAAACAACTATGTCATGTAAGTCGTAACCTCGGATGGTTGTAAAATGAGCTTGTATTATATATAGTACGCATACCTTCATCTTGCGATGCACCTGGTCGAGCTGTGCGGGCTCGAGGCGCATGCGCTGCGCTATGCGAAGCGGCGGTGTGGAGCCGTCCGTGTAGCGCGGCAGCGTGTCGCCAGCCACCGCGGGGTTACCGCCCACAAAATGCATCTGCACCGCAGCAGAGTCGTTCTTCAGCGCCAGCAGCCCTTGCCACATTACCGGGTAACGCTGAAACATACAGTCTCAATTAACCTCAGTGCAATCAGGGGCATATTGCCACGAATCAGCAAATGACAATTATAATAATAATATCGCGCACACACATAGCCCCGCACTAGGCAAACCCTGTATCGCGGGTGCCATGGACACACACATAGCAGCCACAAATTACACCCAGAAAAAAATTTAGGTCATACAAATATTTCTTACAGCACGGGAATCGAACCCGAAACCTCTGCGTGGCAATTCAGCATGGTAACCATTCGGCCATGGAGGCAGTTAAGACATTCGTCAATCATTTATTAAGTCTTTACAATGTGTAATTATAAACTCATAACATTTTTTTTTCGGTTATGTACTCGATGCAATTTTGTAATTTTTGTCAGTGCTAAAATCCCAATTATGAAAATAAATAGATAAAGTGGTCAAGACGGTGTACTCACTCTTAGTAACATTTGGAGAGAGTCGGCCTCGCGTGGGACTTGCGAGGCATGCGGCGGCCCGGGAGCTGCAGATGGCGGCAGCGCGGACGGCATACGTGACGTGCCGTGCGCCGGCGGCGGAGATCGCCCACAACCCGCTGCGTACACTATGACAACAAAACTCTCCGTTTAAAAATACATAACTAAAGACAATAACTTTCAATTATTACTTAAAAATATCCGTTTAAAAATACACAACTAAAGACAATAACTTTCAATTATTACTTAAAAATACAAAATGCTCATCCGACCCTAAATATCCATGATGATCTTATTTGAATGAACAAAGTGAACGACGTAAAAAATGCGATCTTTAAACTAGAAATTAACCCAATTGATATTTATTGAAGTTAGAAACATTCTATTAATGGATTATACAGGCAATACTTACTAATGAGGCGATCGGCAGGGTTCGGTGCGGGAGCGGGCGCGGGCGAGTGCGCGGGCCGCGGCACGCGCGCCGAAGGCGGCCGCCGCAGTTCCAATGGCGGCGTCGGTGCCTCGCAGCCTTCCGCCTCCAAAGTCCTGCAAAACACACCCCTCAGTTACAGTTAGCTAATCTCCACCTTCACCGAAATCCAAAAATAACAATTATGTCGTGCATGCAGCGCGTTTGGAGGGGGTGAAATGCGGTACAAATATATTCTTTTCGAATTGAGTAAACTTACCGAGAGTAGGGTGACGCGGTAGAGCGATTCTCATGCTGAGTCGCGCGAAAGTGCTGCTGGTACATTTGGAAGTGTTGATGGGAAAAGTGATGATACATCCCTTCGCCCTGTAATAACGACAGTGAAATTGTTATCATTTCTTTACGTTTGATTGAATGAAATCTTTAATAAAACAATAATGTGAAATCTATTACAAGAGGAAATGTAGCGGCCACGAAGACAAAGCATTACCAGATCTCACAGTAAACAAATCTAGCGATAAAATGTAGGAATTAATTACATTATGGTATACCGAAGTGACAGGAGAGGTCTGCTGATGTGCAGGCGGTGGACTTCTAACTAATTCGGCAGACTATCCGGATAGCATGAACAAAATCACAATTATAAACTACTTCACACTCTTAAATGATTTGTAGATAAATAAATAATTAACATGTGAAAAATATTCACAGTCCTATTTTAACTTCATAGACCAGCTAAAACATGTACTCACTAATGCCATTTGACCCTGGGGACTAACAGTTGGAACACTCGTGATGGTAACTCGGGACGCGGCTCCTAAAAAGGAAATTCTAAATTAGTTTTATATGATGATAATATTACGTAAACAGATAGTATTCTCTGCTTCGCATCTTATTTTGTGAGTTTTGTTGATGTAGATTAGATAAAATGGTATTGATAATGATAATGATCCATGGTACAATATTAAGAAAAATAATGATGAACGCGATGTAGTGAGACACACCAGGGTGATGGTGGTGATGCGGACCGACGACGGCCACCTGCTTGGCAACGTGCGCGTGGTGCGGCAGGTGCGCGTGTAGCGGCGGCGCAGGCGGCGCTGCGGGGTGATGCGCGCCGCGTGGCAGACTAGCGCCGTCCACGTAGCCACGCGCCAGTCGAGGGCCGGCGCCGCTCGCGGCACTGACGCCTGCGGCATTGCCGAGGCCCTCGCCGTCTCCACCCCTACGGAACACAGAAATACTTTTAACACGTTGCGACGATTACTTTCCCGTCGGAATCAATCGAATTGAGCAGAACCCCATAAATCTTTTGAGTTTTCGCAACCCACCTGATCAGTAGCGGCGTGGCACGGTCGGCGAGACGGTGCGCGGACGGAGGGCGGTGGGGTAGAGCTGGTGACTGCACTCTCGCATCGCTAGCTTCGGTGGCGCCCACAGGCGCGGCGCCGCCGCCTGTAGCCTCTGCGCGCCGAGCAAGTGCCGCCTCGCTGCCGCTGCTGGCCGCGTACGCGTTGCCACTGGCGCCGCAAGCTTGTGACGCACCTGCTTCCGCGCTGCGCCCGCCGCAGGGCAGAACTGAATCACAAATTCATCATTATCAAATGCATTCTCCGCAATATCATCGTAATTGTGCAGTAAAACGACCGTATAGGCAATGATACGACAATTGGAACAATTTAAGGGAGGGTGCGATTGGATTCCGTACCTCGAACGTTTCCGGTTGAAGCGGCTACAGGCTCCGATAGTGCCGGCATTGCGGTGGCAATCTCAGCGCTTCTCGGCTCCCGCAGCGACACTTGAGCTGGTTTTTCAAGTTCTATTGGTATACGCTCGGTACACACTTGCATGCGCATCATTGGGGTTGCAGCAGCGGCCGCCTCAAAGGCACTCGCGAGTTTTGCGCTGATTTCGGATATCATTTTCTTAGGCGGTTTTATGATTGGTGTCGGAACGGGATTTGCAGGTGGATTGGTTGGTTGGAGAGGAGTGATGGTTTTCGCCGATTGAGGTGGATCCGGTTCAATTTTTGATACGGCGGGTGATTCTGCTATTTTAGGTATTTTCACTTCTTTTGGAGCATCGTCGCGTTTTGTCATTTTTTCGTCACTGCTGTCGATCGATGCGTCTGAAAGACTCCTATCCCTGCTACGCTTGACTCCACGGGGTGATTTCCGAGTATCAGATCCAGCTGCTTTCTCTTGGATTGTCTTGGGTCCAGTTTGCCGCGTTTGTCTTTTCTTATTATCTTTTCCTACTTTTGGTTGGCCGGTGCCACCTTTAACCACATCTTCTATGACATCATCAACAGTGTTGCGCTGTACATCTTTTTCTTGTAGACGCCTAGATTTTCTGGTGTTCGCTGACGGAGACAAAAAATCTTCAGCTTTCTCATCTTTAGAAATTTTATCAGGGTTCTTTAATTGTTCTTTTGGGGTTGTTATACTGAGACTAGATGTTGCAACTACATTGGATTGTCCAGAAAGGGGACTTTTTATAGTTAAGATTAGTCGCGGTCTAGGCTCTGTCTTATTAGGTGAAGTTGAAGTTTCATCTCCAGAATCTTCGTGGAAATCATAAACATCTCCAGGTAAATTGTTAGCTGTGTGATTTACTAGATTTTTAATCTTCTTATCAACCTTTGCTCTTCCTCTACCACGTTTTGCACATGTAGTGCCTCTCGACGGTTTTGAAATTTGGCGGGTTTGCACTCTATCATTTTTCTCTGATCTTTTGCCTCTTGTACTACGACCACCTCTCCTATTTATAGTAGTTTTATCATTGGGAGAAGTCTCACCATGTAGTTCAAAAATATTTCTGTTCTCCGGTTGAATTTCCATGGGTTCACACGTTTCTGATGCATTAGAGCTTTCAGATGTTTTCAAGTTGCCCTCAACATTGGTATCATTTACATTTTCCGCGAGGTCTTCTTTACTGTCGCTTTCCAAATTGTCATTACACAATGAATCTACTTTTTTAATCACCGATTCTATATTTATATCTTTAGCACTCCATGAGTCATTTTCGTCAAGGCCTTTTAACTGATTGTCACTAACATCGTGTCTGGATACAGTGTCATAATTATTTTCGCTGTCACTAAAACATCTTTCTATGGTGGATTTTTCATCAGTAGTTGTAGGTACAAAAATTGAATCTCGAGCCTCTTTATCTAACGGGACACTATTTTTTACTTTTTCTGAGTTAATTTTTGTAATGTTGCTATCGTAACATTTTGAAACGTTATCCTCACTTTGTGTCTGGATTAAAAAGTCCTTTTCTTTGACGTCAGAGGCTGTAGTTGGATTTTCAGCAATACTAGATGATGCATTGTCTTCCATTTGTTCCATCTTCAGATTTTCATTGCTCGATTTTCTCTCTCGGCGCTGGATATTTGTAGAAAACAGTGTTACTGTTTTTCCCACATTTACTTCCAGTTTCTTTTCAGGATTGTTAGTAATTTTTATCTCATTAGTTTTGTCCTTTAAAAGCTCTTCGAAATCAGTTTCACACTTTTCTAAACTGTCTTGGGGTGATGAAGATGGTTTCAAACAGATTTCCGTCTGTTTTTTTGTCTGATCGTACAATGTATTTGGCAATTTTAAGGGTTCTATTTTCTGATCAGACTGTTCTTCAGTGTGTAAATGATTTTGTAACTTAACCGAATTACTTTCAGCATGCTGCTCAGCATCATTTTTAGAAGTCAATCTTATAGTGCTAGGGGAACTAGTAGTTTTCAACAGTAACGGTGTCATAACTACATTTTTTAAACTAGGCGTCGTAATCGCAGACGATTTACATGATTCCAATTTAGTTAGAACTGTTGAAGGTCTGATATTTGCCATCGACAAAACAGAAGGTGGAGGTTTGTTGGCGTCGATTTGTATTACATTTGAGATGGGTACCGTTGTTAATAGCCTTTGAGAATTTATCGTATGTATCACATTTGAACTCTGACTTCTATTGATCGAGCTGGCTTCCTGCGCAGCTGCTGGTTTAGAACCACTTTGTATAATCGAAGCACTTGAATGGTTTGCTCCCGCCATATGTATAATTGGTGTTGATGTGAACGGTAAGTGACTGTGCTGCTCCGATTTGTGTAGAAGGCCGTCTCTTTTATCAGGCAAGTGATTCACGTTGTTTATAAGTACTTTATTAGGTAAATGTAAAGTTGAGTTTACATTACCTGCGTGCATTGTATTTTGCATGGATATTAATCGGTTTTGTGCCATTACTGTTGGATTTGTACTGTGCTGTAATGGTGATGGCGACAATATAATTTTTGAATTTTCATTTTCAGAATTAGTTCTTTGATCATTCTTTCTAGGCTCTCCTGTTATAATCTTCGGTTGGTGGATCATGGAAGAACTACTTACCACAATGCTCTTATTTTGGACAGTATTATTAGCACTTATTTTAGAAATTGGTGTGAAAACAGGCGTAACGGGTAATCTATTGAAGTGTATTGGAGCTCCTTGTGTTTGCACCAACACAGAATTAGGCCTGTTTGGTGAAACCATAGTTCGGGCACCGTGTGGAATATGCATAGCTTGAATAGGGCTCAATGGCGGTTGTTGCATACGCACTACAGTTACTTGTCCGGGAGATCTTTGTTGTATAGCATTTGGCGACGCTAAACCTACAGTATTCAAATTCTGCGGTGATGTGCTCAATATCGTCATGTTAGTTAGCCGAGGCGATGGAATACCTTCTCCTTGTGGACTTAATTTTGGGTTTTGTCTCGTATCATTTAACATTCTAGGTGATATAACAATTCCTGGAGGCTTTTGGTACAGAATATGAGGTTCTTGAGGTGGGATTTTAATAGTAGGCGGTTGCAGGTTAGCAAGTTGTGGACGAATCATGTGATTTATCACCTGGTACGGTGCATTAGCATTTACTCTGTTTGGCGTGATAATAGGTCGCAAAGATGCATTCACACCTTGGTTTTGTGGAGCCTTAATTTGAACAATGTTAGCAGAAATGTGAGTTGGTTTAGTTTCATTTATTTCTCTATTGGAATGCTGACATGATGGTATATTTAACACATGAGGCTCAAGCAACTTATTATTTGTGAGAGTCCAAGAAGTTATAACAGGAGTTGCTGTTGAAGTTGGTTGAGGTACAGTTTCTCTTTTTGGCAGTTGAATTTTTAGATCTGGTTCATTCATATTTAAAGGTTGTTGGGAGACCTTTTCCTTTGTAATTGGGGTCGTTGAAGTATTAGAAAGCTTATTTTGATCTGAAGTATTGTTAAGAGCTTGATTAGTAGCAATAATGTTCACTGGCAATTGATCAATGGCATCTTGTGCCGATTCATCTGTTTCTTCAGTGTCAGTGTCAATCAAGAGAAGATCACTATCTGACACAGGTGTATCGGGTTTAGTTTCCATTTCACTAGCATTTAGGTTTTGTACAGCCTGACGCATTTCTTCGGCATCTTCTTCGGGAATATTTTCATTTTCAATGGCAGAACTTTCAATTTCAATCTCATGAGTAGGATTGCTTTCAACTTCTTCGTAGCAACTTGGAAAATTGTCTTCTTTCCCACCAAAACTTTCACCTAACAGTGCTGCTACAGCATCTTCTGTCTCCTCCTGAGAAATAATTGCCCTTGGCTTTTCATCCAGCTTCTTGTCACTTACTTTTAACGCATGAGCATCACATTTGTCCAGTATCTTCTCGGTTTCTTTTTCTAAATTAGAAATACTTCGAACTGCATCTTCACTTATGTCGACGTCTCTACTGAAGAATTTCTCCGCCTTGCACAACTCAGATGATGGTACTGGGTCTTTAGGCAGAGGAACTTCACTTATATCTTGAACAACGTTTTCATAAGGTGGAGGCATTGGTATGTCATTGACAGCTATGGATTTTTCGCTGTCATAGTCTATCTCGATGCTGTGATCAACAGAATCTTCAAGTGTTTCGATTTTTATTTCAGGGCATTTTTTACTGTCGCTTGATTTTGGTAGGCTTGGAGGACTATCTGTGAGTCTGGGTAAACTAGGAGACTCGAGATCATTGGAGTTTTGAGCCGGATCATTATCATTTGGCAAAGGAATATCCAACAACATTTTAGGAGACAACTCTTCAATCTTTTCCGAAAGGTAATCTATTTTGTCAGTTTTGTCAATGTTATTATGATGGTGGTGGTGATGATGATGGTGGTGATGTTCTTTCCGATTTTGTCGATCTTCTCTGCTCTTTTTCTTTTTCTTCTTTTTCTCTTTAGATTCTCTTCTAATTTTATCGCCGTGTTTGTCTTTGTGGTTAATGACGTCACCATCACTGTACTCAAATATATTATTAGTTTGTTGGTTATTTGATAAAAGTTCCAAAGGCGAATCAGCTCGTATACGACTATCGTCATCGACAGAATCAGCGAAGAGGCGTGCTTCGATGGCTTTGCCAACGGCGTCTACGTCCAAACTGTTATCATCGTCTTTTACATAAGTAGGTCTTTTTTCTTTCCGCTTTTTATCTCTCTTACGTTTGCTGTCTTCTTTGTCTTTGCTTTTCGAATCTTCATTAATTATGGAATTTGATTGATCATTTGTTAAACTAACTGCAGAATCATAACCGTGGTTTGAATAATCTAATCTAGTTGTGTCTTTGTCAGATTCATCAGATAATGGGCCGAATATGTCCTCCATTTTTCCATCTTTTTTAATGTTGATACTAATTTCCATAGCAGAATCAAAACAGTTGTTTGACTTCTTATCTTTTTTATGCTTGGTTTCGCGGCTTTCGTCCGCTTCAAAACTGTCGCGAATCTTCTCCTTTCGCTTTTCTTTTTTAGTTCCATGACGACGTAACTTATCTGAATGTTTATGCTTAGTTTCACCTTCCACAGCTATCGCATCACTACTTTCGATCTTAGTTTCATCATCAGAATACGTACATTTGTGTTTCTTCTGTTTCTTTTTGTGCTTCTTTCTTAATTCTCCAGAATTCCTATTGGATACTGCAGATTCACTTTCTGATGAAAAATCACCCGTTAGTGACTTCATAAAGCTGGGTCTATTATCATTGACTTCAGAGTTTTTCAGTTTACTATCTTCACTATCACTCTTACCAAACAAATTTAATAAAGAGTTTTTCTTTATTTTATCACTTGTGTCGTTGGTAGAGGCGTCGTCTCTAATTCTTTGTAGTGACTCAAATTCTGACATGAATTCTTTTCTATTTGGACTCTTGCTAATGCTTCTCTTTGATGTTTCGTCATCAGATGTGTCAGATATTATACGAGTTCTAGAGTTCTTTCGAGACAATTTATTGCGAGAGTCTTCTTCGTTACTCGGTGTACTGAAATAATCATTTGTTTTGCAGCGATCATAATCCAGAGAGGTTCTATGTATTTTTTCACGTTTTTTATTGTTGGTCACGGCGTGATCGTCGTCTGACGAACTGTCCATTGATAATTTTTGAGGTTTTCTTCTTTCATGATCTGAATCACTGTCTTCATCCCAACTAGACCTTTTCTTTTCTTCCCGTTTGGCTCGACTTTGCTTTAACTGACTAAATTTGGCTTTAATTTTTTCTTGTCGTTTTTCTTCTTCTTGCTTCTGCATATTTTTACATGAACGAGCCTTAACTTTATCGTACATAGAGATGTAGGTTGGTTCATCATCAATAATATCAAAAATGGAGTGTTTCTTCGGCTCATCAGAGTCAGAACTGTCTGTACTCTGAAGTTGTTTACGATTTTTGCGTTTGCCACTGTCACTCCTGTCTTCTCTACTTTTGCGGTCAGTTGACATACGCTTCTCACGTGCAGCTTCCTTTTTCTTTTCATCAGATTTTTGTTTCTTATCATCTTTTAGTTTACCCATCAATTCAGCTTGATGTAATGCATCCTGTTGCATTTGAAGTTCTTGTATTTGTTGCAATTGTTGGATACGCTTTTTTTCTTTCATTTCTTTCCTAAGTGCTTTCTGTCTTTCGTCTTCTTCACTTGACCGCAATTCCAAAGTAGCAAGGAAATCTAAATCGTGTTGTAGTCTTTCGGGCTGCAAATCATTATTTGGCATAGGTCGTTCTTCGTTGTCCACAGGTGAATTCTTTTTAGACGATTTTCTTTGATCTTTGCAGTCCTGATCTTTCGTTTCAGGGAATATATCATCCGGAGGTTTTACTTGGCTTTTCTTGTCATCTTTTGTTTTGCTTTCTATTATCTTAGCAAAATGACCTTTATTAAATTTGGTAGTTTTCTGTTTATCAGAACTTCTGGAATCTTTAGAATCTCTTCGTTCTGGACATTTAGAATCACTTTTACTTTTCTTAATTTCTTCATGGAAAGTATCCACGCTTTCTTGGGACGACATTCTTCTCTTGTGGCCAATGTTAGAGGGAAGACTTGAACAGGAATTTAATCGCTCTTTTCGTTTACCCTCCAGGCTGGGAGAATCCAATGAGTAGTGTCTTTGTTTTTCAATAACTTCGGGTTTACACTTGAATGTAGTCTCTACAGCAGTATCTAATTTGTTTTTGCTGTGTTCACTAGGCTCTTCTTTAATTTCAGATTTAATTTTAAATAAGCTGTCCGTTTTCTCGAGATCAGAAGTTTTAAAGAATTCTTTGTCGATGTCTTTCTCATGATTAGCGAATAAATCGAAGTATTTAAGCTTTGGTTTTGGTTCTTCTTTAATTTCTGTCTGGTCTAGCTCTTTTAATTTCGATGAATCGTATGAAGCTCTAGAAGTTGAAGAATCTGTTGAATCTTTTCGACATAAATCTTTTGAAGGCTCATCCCTGGAAGATTTGCGGTTTTTGAAGGAATCGTTATCTTTTTTGTTCTCCCGCTTGGATTCACAATCTTTCTTAGTCTTCTCATGCTTATGCTTCTCATCTTTTTTTGTTTTCGTGCTATCACTTTCAGAACTATCTTTTCTCTTATCTTTTTTGTGGTGTTCATGACGCGACGATTTTTCTTCGTGTTTCAATTTATCTGTATCTTTACTTCTCTCTGCCTTATCTACATGGGTCTTCTCTACGTCTTCTTTAGATTTCTTTTCTTTTTCAGTCTTCTCAGATAGTCTATCATTTCTATGATTTTTCGATTTCTCTTTATCCTGTTCGTGTTTTTCTTTGCTGTGCTTTGCTTTGTCTCTATCATGTTTCACACGATCTTCGAAATGCTTTTCCGATTCTGAGTTTTTCTTTTCCCCCAAAAAAATGGATTTATCTTTTTCAGTTGTCTTGTCAAATTCAATGTTCTCTTTTTCAGATTTATTGTCGTGAAAGTTCTCTACTATAACATTCTGATCATATCTCTCTTTTCCATTTTTATCATTAGTTTTAACAAATTCTTGAGGTAATTCGGCAAGTTCTTTAGTGGGTTTGCTAGTATTCATTATATTCAAATGACTATGCTGCACTTCGAATTCATGTAATTCTTTATTGATGTGATTTTGCATTAAAATGTCTTTGCATTTGTCATCTTTTTCTGGAGGAAGTTCAATTTTATCCAAATCATTTTGGATGAGGGGATGTAAATTTTGATCACTGTTTGTCAAATCTGTTTTAGTACTTTCGCATCTCAAAAATTTATTATCACTTTGACCGAGACGCTGTTCGTAATCTTTTTCGGCGATGTTTTCTATTCCAACTTTATTCGGTATAGGTTCTTCCATTTCTCGAGAAGATTCAATTTGTTTACCTGTAATGATCCTTTCTATGTTTTTATTTTCACCCTCTTTACTAATGTCTGTATTTTCAGCGAAAATAGAAAGTGGTTTGTCACTGGAATTTTCTTCGCTTTTTCTCTTCTCTTGATCGCAAGTACTGGTTCTTTCTGGAGTTTGATAGTCTGGATTGATCCTTTCGATGGCCTCTTTGATATCTCTGTCTTCAGAGTTCAGAGGTAATCTACTGTCCCCTTCCCGTGAACCGTAGAGAGAATTTCTCCTTCTTCTTTCCAGTCCCCGTCGTGGATCACGTTCTAATTCTAGTTTTTCCGGCCTTTCGTGTTCCCCTCCCGTAGATTGGCGACGTTCACTCGAATCAGGCTGCGATTTATCCGTCGAGGGTGTCCTCAGACGGATCTTTGACTCGGGTCTATAGTCGCTCTCAGAAATCTTCCCTAACCTCTCCAGTTGAAATGTTCTTTCGGGTCTATTTAGACGTGGATCGACTGGCCGATCGGACACTTCCGAATCATGCTCCTGGGATGAGTGCGATCCAGGCCCGATCGTGCTACACGAAGTCGGTGTAGCTGGCGTAAGCGGCGTAGCGGGCGTAGAGGGTGTCGCAGGAGAACTGTGCGGTGACGGGTGTGCCGGAAACGGATAGCGTAAGGCTCGTGGTACGGAAGGCGGTGGCCGCCCCCGAGGACTGCCCGATGGACTGGGCGCTCGAGTGGCACCTTCCAACCTTTCGGAGTCTTCGTCGAAAACGGATCGTTTGGCCAACAAAGAGCGCACCACATCCGATGGTTTCACCTCGTTTATGTCAACTTCAAGCAGACGATGACGGAGGCGCGCTCGATCAGGCGCATCTTGCTGGGCACGTGAACCACTCCACTTTTCGTATTTTTCGTCCAGGCTACGAATACGCTCCTCCAAGGACGGGGAATGTGGCGCAGATCCGGCACTCGATGATGACGCCGAAGGTGGACGTGGCGGTGAATCAGGCGCCGACGCCGGTGCAGTAGATTGACGCGGGGCCGCCGCAGCACTGCGAAGTAACTGCGCCGCAAACTTGGGCAGCGGCAAACTCATGGGCAGCGGCGGACGTTCACGAGGTGGTCGTCGTGGCTCCGTTGGCGGCGCATCAAGCTCATCGCGTAGAGGTGTTCCTGCTCGTGAACCTCGTGAACCCGAACCATCCCTTCGCCGACGATGTCTCCGTCTTCCTGCGTGGCGTTCACCGCCTCGCGATCCTGACCGTGATCTTCTGCCTCCTGTTCCGCTAGTCCCCCTATGTCTCTCCTGACAAAAAAAAAATCAAATGATATATGTATATCATACTGCAGATGCTTTTTAAAGTCTTTAAGAACAGCATAGATACTTAAGAATTTTAAAATGGAATTATTTTCTGCTAAGCCTTAAATGTTATCACAATCACCATAAATTAGTAATTTTACCTTGGAGTGTTTACGGTCTTCTGGACTGGAGTCTCGGCGATGCTTTCTTGCGCGGTGTGGCGATACTACAACAGACTGCAACCTGTCATCGTAAGACGCCTCTTCGGTTTGCGGACTGGAACCTAATTCATCATATACCCTGTAAACAATATTGAACATTACAAGTGACTTAGTGATGCTTGATATTTAATATTTATAGTGGGCCTAACAAAAGTATATCAATGTCGGTTGCGTCAACTGTGGTAATAACACTACCTGCCATCATTTATTACTACTTAACATCACGTTATAGTTAATAACGCTACATTAATATTAAATCTAAATTTGTTAAAATAAAAAGCTTGTCCAACACTACCACTGGATCAGTTGACCGGTGCCAATAACAATAATGGACGTAGTTTGCACACCTTTACGTGTTAGTTTTGGTGAAAAAGACATTTCGGGACAATTAGATTAAAATTAACATCGTATAAGACATTTGGCATACTATGCTTTGTTTTTCGAAGATCGAGTTAGGATTATACTGCTACCAACGCTAGATTGTTTTCTGCTTCGGAAAGTGCAGTGCAGTGCAGCGTGTAACGCGAAACCTTACGGTGCATAGTGAATTCATGTGTTACAACAGAAATGCGGTAAGAAAATGGCGCAGTATGTTTTCACAGTGCAGACTGGCCCGTAACGTGTCGGCCGAAGTACTCTGGTTCAGTGGTGTGGTATTGTAATTGGATTGATCCAAATTGTGTACAGAGGCACAATTCATTTCTTAATATTTCTAAAATTGTATAGGAAAAGATTATTGAATTCTTTACAATTTAATAGAAATTGCTGAAAAATTTAATTCTACAATTAATTATACGATAAAAATTACTGCGTTTGAAGAAACGTACCGTCACATCTTGTACTGTATTTATAATTTGTAGCATTAACTAAATAAATAATATTTCATATTAAACAACTTAAGGGGAAACGTCACGGTCGATTTCCAGACAAAATGAATTCTATATATTCGTCATTGCGGCTGCTTTTATGTATATATTACATTTCCAATAAAAAACTATTTATTTTCTAATTATCGCATATACTCGTACCAAAATTAACGCTTGAAAGTCTAAATAAATCAATTAAAATCGGTCAAATCTTTGCTAGTGTGCGATAATGAATACACATAAGTGGAATAAAATGGCGTCGTGGTCTATGAACAGCTGATACCGCTGTCACGTTTTTACTCCGTAGTTCTCATAGTGCTCAAAAGATGGCACAAGTACAAGGTCACTCAGAATTCATAACACGAACGAATTTGTAATAACAATACTTGAATATTTGATATATTTGAAATATTTTTGCAAATTTGGTAGAAAGCTGGAAAGGACGTTACGTTTGACGAAATTAGGAAGTACATGATTATTTGGGGGTGCTAATTACGAATATGGCAATTATTTCTCCATCCAAGATGGCGGACACGACTTTTCAAGTAAATGCAATATGGGTATCATTTTCAGGGTATCTGGGGGTGCTAATTACGAATATCCATTGACTTCAATGCGAATATCGCACTTATTTCTAATTCCAAGATGGCGTACACGACTTTTCCAAGAATGGCAAGTTGGGTATCATTTTCGGGGTATTTGGGGGTGCTCATTACGAATATGGCACTTATATCTAAATCCAAGATGGCGGACACGACTTTTGAAATAAATGCAATATGGGTATAATTTTCGGGGTATTTGGGGGTGCT